GTCCATTTAGAGTCAAACAGACCATAAAGCAGGGGATGCTTTAGGGCAGGGCTTACTGTGATTGACAGGTTGCTGCCACGGCGTTGTTCAGTCTGGGAGTTGCCCGTGTTTTCGTCTTACGACTTTGACCCTTTCACGATGTGTTTAGCAGTTCACGGAAGTTAATTGTAGAATTTATGGTCTCCTAAAAATGTCTTATTTCATCGTTCGGTTGTACTTAGCTCTATCCTCTCGTGTGACTTCTGTTTACAAAAAAAAACCCAAAATGGCGACGGCCAAAACCAAAATAGCGACGGACAAAATGCCTCCCTCGAGGCTTCAAAACGTCCACAAACCAATCAGTGACGTCATGTTGACTACGTCCATTTCATGTTCACAGTCCGTCCAAGGAATTTTGAACATGTAAAAGAAACCAAATGTTCATCCAACTCATGCATCTGCTGTGTTCTTCAGCAGCACCTGTAAGAAACATAGCTCTTATATCCCTTTGGTTTCCCCATGAGGGTTTCTTGTGTTCATCCATATTTGTTTCCACTGTAAATCCAATGATCACTATAGTTGGCAGGGAACACATGGGTGATGCTGTTCGCAGAAATGTTCATATAGTACTTTGATTTGTTTGTTGCATATTAAATTAACGCTCTACTCTGTTGAATTCTATACGATTTAATTCTACGTTTTTCCCTCCTTCACATTGGCGCTCGTCTCCGGTGTTTCCTCTCTGACTTTCTCCTCGGCTCCCAGTAATGACAGCTCACTGCTTTTCATCAGCTGTTAACACTTGGAATCGACACGGAGCCTCTTCTGTGTTGCATTAGACATCAGACACTTCTCGTGTCTGAAACTGTTTCCTGTCTGCTGTAGACGGGTTCATCCAGGTTGCTCTTCCTCTCGGTGGAATAACTTTTTTTATTAATACGCTTTTTTAAAATGAGTTCACAACGCAGACAGACTTGATGACTTCTGGTCATCCTGGTCCTTCTGGTTCATTGTCCTCTCCGTTTCCTCTGTATTACAGATAATGGACTGTTGTTTTTTATAATTCCACCTAAATGATGGGAGCCATTATATAAATAGCTTCTACAAAGCAAATTAAAAACACAAAGACATTTCCACTGCAGTGACATTCAGAGCCAGAGCAGCTACATTCCTCTACTGCAGCATGTCACTGTAAACCTCCATCTGCAGCAGCAGTTGTGACTAAAAGGGCTGCAACCAATAACCTGATTATTTCCCTAAATGATGAGTCAGATTTGTTGGTCCTGCTGGTGGCTCGGCTGTTGGAAGGTCAGTGTTGGTCCGTCAGCCCGGCTGAGATATCGGGACAACTCTTACATGAGTTGCAATGATATTTTTGTAGAGAGATTAGTTTTCCTCTCAGGATGAATTCCTGTTGATCCTCAGACTTTTCATCTCACAAATCTTCTATTCGTCCAACACTTTGGTTAATGAACAAATGCCTGAAAAAAAACCTAATTCCATTCCCATCAGCCTCAGCTGAGGTTTGTGTTTAGTGCTAATTAGAAAATGTCAGCGTGCTAACGGGCTAAAACTAAGATGGTGAACATTACCTCAGCACGTTTCTGTGAGCATTTAAGTTCAACTGCTTCTTTAGTGAGAGGTATAAATCAATGAAACGAATAACAAAACAATAAAAAACATGATAACGGCAGCAACAATGCAGAAAAATTGGGGATATAAAATGGTATGTAGATGTATGTGTATATATATAAATAATATAATATAAAAATAATACAATAAAAAATAATAACACAAAGAAATATGTATGAATAAATAATAATAAAATAATATAAATAATGAATTAATTAGTTAAATATAGTGAGACTGGAAAGGGTTACTGTGAGCATGTAAATGTTAGCATTGCAATTTGAAACCCACAGAATCGATGTGTATGTAATCGTGAGCCAGGAGAGGTGACGTAGTGTAAAAGCTCAAACAAACACCAAACTTTCACCAAGGAGGCCGCTGCTCGTGTGCCGAACCACTTCGGTAGTTACTTAAAAACCACGATCTTTCTCCAAACCTCACCAAGTCCTTTTCTTGCCTAAACACTGCAGGGGCTCGTTGGAAAACACACAAAAGATAATAAAATAACTTGTCTTAGGATAAGATGCACTGTTACGTGATAATATGTTGAAGTAAAGCCTCACAGAGCTGCGAGCATGCTGTTTCTTTCCTGATGAATTATTTACTACTGCATCCTTCACCAGTTCAAGCCAAGGTTACTTCTTCCAGATTGCTTGTCTGGACTGACCAACAGTCAAAAACACCATCAATGTACAACTGGAGCTAGACGGGGAAATCTTCAATATTAGCTTATTGCAGATGAATTGGTATCAACGTGATATCTATTTCAGCCGATGAAATGTCAGACGGTTATGTCAAAGAGATGTTAGAGAAACAGTGTCTTCAGTACTTTAGTTTGTTCAGTAGAACTCAGTACATTTAATAGTCAAATTTAAAGGATCCTTATGAAAGTATTTTTTATGTGTTGATGTAAAAAAGTAATTTTTTTTCTAACTGTCAAAAATGTATCAGAAACGGCCTTAGAGATGTATATTCAGTCCATGATTTTAAGTAATTTAATGATATCAAAGCGAGAATATAAGACGGTGAAACCAGAGAGTGCTTTTCTTTGTGAACGATAACGATTCATTGAAGATCAGAATTGTTGTCGTTAAATGTTGTTAATTAATCAATTAATAGCGATCAAACCTCCATCTGAACGTCGGCAGATCCTCATTTAACGTCTCCGAAACCATAAACTGGGAATTAGATCCCCCAGAGAAGCGAATGCAGCATCGTCCAAATGTTGCACTGCAGCTGAGAAAGTTTAATATTTACTTCTACATCTCCTTCCAGAGGAAAAAAAACCACAAAAATTCATGGTGACTGCAGAGCACGCTGTGCAGGACTGTGATGGATATTTCACAGTTTCTGGCAGCTGTGAAAAGATTGTCGGCCCAAATAATTTTCGAGGGGGGGCAGATGTGAAACCACGAGGGCAAACTCATCAAGAGGTTCTTCCTACAAGACAAACACAGTTGCAGTCCACATGGCAGAAATGAGATATTGACTGCTTTGTTATTTTGAGGCAAAATGAACTTTAGGCTCCTCGCTCAAAGCCACTTTCTAATTCCCTCCACTGGTGATTTATTTAACATGTTTTGATTGGTTTCTCCCTTCTTCCAGGTCATGGGCTACTGGTACTTTGGGTCCACCTGGTGTTCCTTCTACCTGGCCCTGGACGTCCTCTTCTGCACCTCCTCCATCGTCCACCTGTGCGCCATCAGCCTCGACCGCTACTGGTCCGTCACCAAAGCCGTCAGCTACAACCGCAAACGGACGCCCAAGCGGATCAAATCGATGATCAGTGTCGTGTGGCTCATATCCATCGTCATATCCTCCCCGCCGCTCCTCATGACGCAGAAGGAGGAGGATCCGGGGAATGAGGCCTACGACGGCCGGCGGCAGGAGTGTCTCCTCAACAACCAGACGTGGTACATCCTCTCCTCCTGCCTCGTGTCCTTCTTTGCCCCGGGCGTCATCATGATACTCGTGTACTGCAAGATCTACCGCGTCGCCAAGCAGAGGGCCTCCACCGTGTTCGTGGCGAAGAACGCGGTGGAGCGCCAGCCGTCACAGTCCGAGACCTGTTTCGAGGGCAACGGCAGGACTTGCCAAAGAAAAGGAGCTGGCTTCGGCAGCGAATCCCGGTACGAGCTGGACAGCCCGCGGCCCGCAAACCGACACAGCTCCTCCAATGTGGACAGCAGCAGCAGCAGCCGCCGGAGAGGAGAGCTGGACGACATCGACTTGGAGGAGAGGAGCTGCGAACCCAACATAAAAGCATCCGCCTCGTTTTCTTCGGCGCTCCGTTTCCCCAGGAGAGCCGGGGGAGGCGTGAAAACAGAGGATGCAGAGGGAGCATTGGACAGGTTGAAGCCTCCTCCCCCGTCCTGCGCCTCCATATCGTGGGCGTCGTCTGAGAACTGCTCCCACCACTTCCTCCTCCCGTCCCCGGTGCCTCTCCGCAGCCGGCGGACGACTCTGTCCAAGAACAAAGTGGCGCAAATGAGGGAGAAGCGCTTCACATTTGTTCTGGCGGTGGTGATGGGGGTTTTTGTCCTCTGCTGGTTCCCGTTCTTCTTCACCTACAGTCTCCACGCGGTCTGCAGAGAGAACTGCACGATCCCCGACACACTCTTCAACCTGTTTTTCTGGATCGGGTACTGCAACAGCTGCCTGAACCCCATCATATATACCATCTTCAACCGAGACTTCAGGAAGGCCTTCAAGAAGATTTTATTCCAGACTCATAAGGGAACATAAGATGTCAGAGTGTGTGTGTGTGTGTGTGTGTGTGTGTGTGTGTGTGTGTGTGTGTGTGTGTGTGTGTGTGTGTGGGGCATCACACAGAAACAGACACACAGTCAAACACAAATGTGTGCACACACTTTTAATCCTGTTGTCCACTGTGCTGTCATACCGACATTAAAGGGCTTGCCACGCAGCCTGCGTATTGATTTATTATTCAACTGCTCATTCATTTATGAAATAATCACTTTCTATACTAGTGCAAACGAGCCAGAGGAAGACGATTATGAAACACGTGCTGTGTGTGCAGGTTTCTCCGACTCTGCTTGCTTGATGCAATAAAATGTCAAAGTTGCAAGGGCGTGTTTTTGCCGGAGTTTGAATGTTAATTCGAGGAAAACGGCTGCAGGGCTGTGAACTATGTCCCTGCGGAGCGCAGAGATGTGAGCTATAGCAAGCTGGCTGACTGACTGTGCAAACCTTTGTACTGACACGAGAACAGATTTATAAGGAACTGAGGGAGAAAAAAACCAGCTGTGCTTTAAAAGAAATATGCAATGAGTTTTTAAAGGTAGTAGTGTGTCTGATTTAGGGGCATCTAGTGGTGACGTTGCAGATTGCTCACTCCTCCCTTTCCAACAGTGTCGGAGAACTACGGTGGCCTTCAGGTAACGTAAAAAAAAATGTGAAAGACTTTCTTTAGAGTCTGTTTGGTTTGTAAGACCCGCCCTGCGAAGCTGGTTGAGGCATAGGCGATCGGTTAAGGTTAGGCATTGATCTTAAATAGTTATGGTGAGGATAGCCAGGACCAACCAGGTTACCAGTACCTCAGCGTACCTCAGTGAACCTATTGCACAATTACACAATAATTGTTAGTTCTAGGTGATTATATACTAATGAAAACATAGTTATGAATATCATATATTTATATTCAATAAATCCCCTTTAAAGCTACACGCTGTTCCAGGTGCAAGATACGAGATTGGGAGAGTTTCGATTGTCTCTAAACGGCTCTCAACATGGCCGGCGCCTCACAGCTAACAGCGCAAACAACGGCAACAGTGCTGACAGAGCTAACAGTGTTGCCTGAGGGGGAACAGGGGTGGGTGCTACCCTTCCACGTCGACGCTGCCGGTTTGGGACGATGTTAGCGGCTCTAACCAGCGTATGAGAGCAGTGCAGAGCGGCCGCCGTTAGCTAACTAGTGGGGCACGCTAACATGCACGCAACAGGCCGACCCAACTATATCTACAAAGCAAGGAGAAGCTCTGATTAAAACACACACAGAGGGCTCAGATAGGCATTACTTCACTATATCTTTACATAGATAATAGTTGTTTGCTGCCAGTAATGCTCTGAATATCAAATACTTGCTCTTTTAATGGCTTGCTGTGCCTCAGAGTATTTAAACACCAGCAGCACCCAAAGTTTAAACTTTCACTTGGAGTAGACACGGAGAACGGAAAGCCCAATGAAAGTTACCAGTTTTCCATGCAGCAGCAGTGTTCTGTTGACACTGCACAGCTCAGGGGCAAAGATATTAAAAATGCATGTGCAGCGTGCAGACGGGCTGATCTTCGCTGTACACAGAGGACAAAAGAGAAGGAATAGAAAAGAGAGAGCCTCTGAATTTATATAATGAACCTCAGGCTCATACAACAAAAGATAATTATTCTCTGAAGCTCAGGATGAAACAACTGGACCGGCTGCTTCAGGGCTCACGTTTCTACTGCTGAAGAAAACCTGATCCGCCCTGGACCCAACACTTCGATACCACGAAGAATAAACCATTATTGATTCAATCGCTTCATGCAGATTGGGGAAACAAAATGTATTCTGTTGCTTTTGATTTGGGATGATAATCCAGTGACTTTTTTTTATCTTCCATCTCTACAAACACGAAGCACACGTACGAGTGTCGGCGGCCGCAGAAGGAGCCGCAAAGTCCAAGGCCACAAGGGACGTTACATCACTCTGGTTACCATGCAACACGGAGTTTGACAACAACTCGGGAGTTGCGTAATTAACCATTTCACCTGAAGTATAATGCTGTTGGTAAAATATGATGAAGTGCGTTCTAAAGTGGCCCAAAGGTCAAGAAACCGTAATATAATGCCATCTGGGGCGACCTTCAATCATTTCTTAGAAACTCTGCATACTGATGTCTCACTGCGTTCTGTTTATTTCTTTCGCCCCCGTCTCTCTTGGCAGGTTTTTCAGCTTTTAATACTGGACTCAGATCCAACACAGAAGAGAAAATAGTTAACGTGAGTTAGAGGACAAAATGAGAAGCGGCAAGTGATCCTGCAAAGAGGCGTGTAAGAAGTGGATGCAATCACCGTCACGGTGCCCGGTGGTTTGCGGACTGCGGTTTTGAAGCCTCGCGTTTAGCATTTTGGCTGAGCTAGCTAACGTTACAGCTCAGCCGAGAAGGGCGCCTCTTATGTTCACGTGTCTTTCTGTCGCGAGCCTCTCGCCCGTGAGTAGATGCACGCTTCCGTCTGCGTCGTAATACGGTTGCCCGGTGTAGTTCGGTTGCAGTGACGTGCGGTGAGGTTCGTGGCTGGTGAGGCACTGACTCTTTCAGAGTCAGATTTACAAATCTATGAACCCAATATAGAGTATCTTAAATCACCATTCAATTGGCAGCCTGCACATTGACTACTGGTTGTTTGTCATATTTCATATCAGCATTCTCTACACACACATAGGTAAGGTACATATTTGAATGCACCAGGAGCGTGTGCGCCGCGACCTGCGACCTGCGACCTGCCCCACCAACCTGTTTCAAGAGCCACCCGCGAAAATCACGAGATCCCGCGATAATCTGTGTAACAGCCACGGATTTACAAAGAGAACAACAAACATTGAATCGACGTTGAATTGCTGTTGATTTGGTCATATGTTCCTGTTTTTTGAGAATTGTTAAAGCTTAGATATTTAATCTTCAATGTTTGCGGTCAAAGCAAAATATAAGAAGAAGAAGAGAAGTGTAGAAGAAGAGTAACAGAACTACAAGCATGAACCCGACCCGTGTGCTCTCGCACGCCCCCTTCATTGAGGCAGAGGTACTGTGTGCCTCCCCTCTGTGCTGTCAGATCAGCAAAGACTAAATATGTTCTACACATACGTGAAATACATGACCTGTTCTATGGAAAGAAAGGACATATAGTAAAAGTATCAACAAATATTACACTGGTGACAATGAGAAAGCAAAAGGCACTCGCTCAACCCAGTTTGTTAGGGATTGCGCAATCTGAGGTGAGGCAGATCTCATCGCTGCCTCACCTCGCGTGTCTCCTCTCTGTTTGAACAGGACATGCGCAAATTCAGCGATTTTGACTATAAAAATGCTTAAAATTATTGAAATCATACAGAAATTACATTTATAGCATAGATCAGTAGAGAAATAGTATTTATTTTATTTTATCATTATTTGTTTTTTACTTTTCAAGACTATAGTTCCGACATTAATCTGCTCAAAACAAGGTCTGTAGATTATCTGGAGTAAACGGGTCCTGATTTCTCAAAAGAGATGTTGCTGTCAAGTTTTTCAAATGTATTTCTTTGGAGGGCTTTGAGCACCACAAGCTGAACGACATCTAGTCCCGATATCTGCCAAACTAGGCAACTCACACCAAAACAATCTAGATTCTAATCTAGATAGTTAAGAGGAAAATGATTTATTTTTGATTTATGGGGTGAACTGTCCCTTTAAGAGTGACCTCTTCTTTTCTTGACCTGGCTGTGTTTCTTAGTGTTGAACGGATGTTATTGTTAAGAAACGTCTCCTTTGTTTTACAGCTTGCTCTTCTCTTCTGCTGCTTTACTCCAAACTTTTTCCCGATTTGCTAAATAGGAACGTGAAGCTCTACAGCGTCTCTCTGTAGAGCTTCTTTTTATAACCTCAGAACTGTACATGTGCAGAAATCCACATCACCAGAATTGACATACTTACGAAAGTATTTGTAACACTTGGAATAGAAAATCTCTTAATCGAAGCAGAGTAAAGCATTCCTGGTTTATCGTCTTCTACTCAAAGCTGTAGAGTTCTGCCAGCATCTCCACGGACTCTCAGATCATTTGGAGTACCCAATTGATTAGTGTTATTATTCCAGAATAAATTCCAACATCTGTTCTCTCTGGAATTAAAAACAAGCGGCCCCAATTTGGCTAATTGGCATCAGCTGTTGTCAATATCCTTCAGAATGATTGGCTCATTCACCGCTAAGTGGTCTGGGAATATCCAGTCATATCCATGGTTGTCAATCTGCCGCCGGTTCAGATGCTGCAGGACAGAAACACAAGCTGCAGCTGAGCTTATTAAGTACGTACGGTTGCCTGTAGTATGCATTGAATTGGGAGTTACTACTTCCTCATAACACGGCACCTTTAACTTTGATCCCTCTTCGTTTATGTGCTGCGCAAAGGATTGTGGGTCAGAATAACCAAAACAAAGCATGCCGGCTTGCATACTGCAAAATACTACCGGATGTTGTAGAACATACTGGTATTTTTGGCATACTGCATTTGACATACAATGTATTGGCTCATACTTTTTCTCGCTTACTAAATAGTTTGGTAATCTGGATATTGGAACGCACAGGCGGTTTTCCTCAGCCTGCGATCACCACTGACAGGGGTGAAAGAAGTAGATATTTTGATTAAAGGGACAGTTCACCAAATTAAAAACCTGGTGCTATTTATTAATCTACATTGTGAGTTGCCTCGTTTTGGACGTATCTTCCTTCTCTCCAATATAATGGGACTCTGATGTCGTTTATCTTGTGCTGCTCAAAGCGCCAAATTCCACACACTCCTGTCCCAGCGTAGGAATGCACGTTACTGTCGCCAGATAATCAGTCATTAACACCGCTTCCCCCGATTTTGTAATGTGCTGATGAGCCAGAGACAACGGATGAATGGATTTTTTCATTTCCAGGGTAGAGGCACTTCAGCCAAAACTTGGTGGGTTTTGGTAACTCGTTTGAAACCAAACCGACATTAAATAGATTTGGCTGCAGACAGCTTTATCATCCTGTCTCGTTAGCGTCTCTGCATTCACATCTGTCAGCCCAAAGTAAAGACAGTGAGCGCCCAGAGATGCTCTGCCGTGCACACTGTTGAGAAGCAGCCGTGTGATGTTTCCTAACCTTGAAACTGTCATAGTTGAGCTCTCGTTAGAATGCATTCAAGAGGTGCTGGTTATGTTTAAAATCTGGCAGTTGCTTGGCTTGTTGGTTTCGGCAGCTCACAGAGGCCACACTGAGGAACACAATGGTTCTCCTCCTGCCAGATTGGAACAAATACACAAAGTCCTGGACTCATCACATTTCACTACCAGCTGTCTCTGACTGTGTGGTGAGAAGCTACAAGACAAAATTAGAATATGTTAATTCACTGTTTGTATAAAAAACTGAGTAATTACAGTTTTACATGCAGAGTCAAGTGTGCAGTGGGTGTAAGAATTGTTTCAAGAAGTACATTTCAGATCAGATGGCAATACAATCACACCTGTGTGCCTGACGTTCAAAGCAGTAATATAGCATCAAACAGCAGCTATGTAAAGCTATAGTGGAGTAACCTGAGCAGAGAATGAAGTCAAGCTTTGTTGTTGTTCGGGCCTTTTAATGCATGTTAGTGCATTGGAAAATGACTCTACTTCTCTCTTGATTTATTACCTCAGTAAACATTGTAAACATGAGTTTATGGTCTCAATCTCTAGTTTCAAGTCTTCTTCAATACAGCATGATGTTCATTTAGTACATTATGCTCCATTTAGAGTCAAACAGACCATAAAGCAGGGGATGCTTTAGGGCGGGGCTACACGTTGATTGACAGGTCTCTACCAGAGACGTATACAGCGTCTCTACGTCACTCCTCCGCATTCCAGATATGCTCACTGTTCACTGGTTGCAAAAAAAAACAACGCCCGTAATCCAAGATGGCGACGGCAAAATCGCCGAACTGGAGGCTTCAAAACGTCCGTCATCAACCAACCAACCTTGACCTTGTGAAAAGTCGAGGGATCAACAAACTTATTACAATTAAACTTGTGGGAACCATGTTGTGCCGATCCTTCGTGTAGAAGCAGAGATATTTCACTGGATAATTAAAAACTTTGAGGTGGCGCTGGATAAAGTAGGCTGCATGTATTAGTTGATGGTGCACAGTTAAGTATTTACAATGCATTTTATTCTATTTACTTTAAAATTTAAGTTTTCACAGGTTTCTCCATTCATATTCCTGTTTACATGCACAGGAGGAGAGTCCAAAAAATGAGTGAAATGCTGTTATAATGTCAGACCTATCCTGCTGATGCCATCATGTTTCTGCTCTGAGCTGTTCTTTTTACAGCACTTAAACCGCTGATAATCTGTTGTCAAGCTGTTTGATCGATGTTGAAAAATAGCACAAAAACTTCAGCTGTAATATTTTTTAATTAAAATGTATCCATTTGGTGACCAAACTGCCTTTTAGCAGCTAGTAGCATCTGGACGTTCATGTGGTTATCCATAAAACCAGACTCCTGAACATGTGATTGGATGTTTGTTCTTTTAACTGTGCTCAAGAGGGAGAGGAAGAAGCTGAAGAAGTCGCGAGAGTATGCAGAACAGAAGGACGAAGCTTGCAGCTTTATATGAATACAGATTTGTGACCCGTGGTGCACCACAGAGCTTTAAGCAAAGCATATATCGACTCCCAGCAGTCTGTCTGCTTCACAAAGACCAGCTCTCTCTGTCCCTGAGCAGCTCTCGTGGAATAAAATAAAAGACGAGGGAAAACGTTTGCAAAGAGAGAGAGAGAGAATATTGTGATTTTAAAAACAGCATGAATACAGTGACCAGTGGAGCGCAGGGGGCTCAGAGAATATGAATTAATGTTTTGTATGTGAATACATAACATGATTCCTGCACTACAGACAAATTCAGACAAGTACAACGTGTCCCTAAAACCGATCTGAGAAAAGATCAACCTTAGCTGTGGTGAAGTAGCGAGACTGGAAAGCTAAAGGACTGAGTGCTGAATAACTGCTTTCTTTAGCACGGCTCATATTCCTAACGGAGAAATCCAATATGTGATTACACTCACAATATTTTAATGCATTTTTGTTTTGTTCTACATTTTCAGTCACTCCTATGATTGTAAGTCTTACTTTTAATTGTGGGGAATATCGTCCTTTGAGTTTTTCCCATAATGCTTTGGGGGAAGTGCCATGTTGCCATGGGGTGTCAAGTGAGTTAGCTGTGTGCTACTTCTTGATTCCTGGCCTGTTTGGCCTGTATTTGTTTACATTTTGGCAAATGGCATCATTAAAAGTAATGCCGAATTACCTATTAGCAGTTTCTCGTTGCAATGAACCCATAGTTGTGCGGAAAACTATCATTGAATTACTTTGACACGGAAGAAAACTTAAAGAGGTGATGATTCTCAGGCAAGTTGTGGAGCGACTTTTTTTCCTCTGATTTCTAAGCGGATCTATGGACGTTTACTCGCGATGGACATCGATGGACATCGATGGACATCGATGGACATTAAGCAATTAGCCTTGAAAATGATATGAAGAAGTCTACTTCAATTTGAATTGAACATATCAATTAGAGGTGCTGTTAATGCTGATTTAATTACCTATTTATGTACAAGTAGGCCTACTTTTGTATTAGTTTTGGTTATCATAACGTAATATCAGGTATCAGTATCATTATGAGGAGGCCTACTGTGTAAGTTTGAACGACTAATGCTTTTATTCTGTTAAGAAAGG